TATTCTCGTATGTCCACGATGAATGTATGCTACGCGTCTCGTCTTATATAGATTCCATCTATGGCCTCAAATATTTTCCATTCTGAAATTGATTATACCTCCTATGCGAACATGCGTTTCTTAAAGAACGCGTAATTATTRTTATTTAGGCAATATACTATAGTGACTTACGTACAGTATTCTACGACGAATAAAATAGACATTATGTAGTCATTAGACATTATTTCGTATAGATTGCGTGTAATATATGGTAGTTTTTGTATTTGCTATTGCCGATTGAAAGTGTAACAAAACGGCGCTTCCTTTCACCCATGATCGACCGTATCCATTGTGTTGTATTTTTCTATTCATGCAACACACGTTCATGAATTGCTGTATTTTGTTCATCGRCAGAAACGCTTAAAAAATACGTAAATATAATAATAACAATAAAAAATTTAWGAATTAATATGTATATATCTAATATGTGTATAAACTATAAATAAAGGAAATTGATTTTCTGTCTTGCAGGGCTGCAATTAGGTGATCGTGATTCGATTTATGATTTCGGGAATAAAAAATGCAACGAACAATCGATATTAAATTTTAGTTACACACATAATACACGCACGGCTGAGCAAAATACCATTGCATATTTATACAACACATATTTAGCCAAAACTTAATAACTAAATATACATTATGTTATAGCTGGTTGAACCGTATCATAACTGTATCAGTAATATGTACTGAAATTAAAGGGCTCATAGCCTCATAGGAGATTTGTCACCTAAGGTTGAATTTTTAGGGAGACATTTTATAATTATTTTAATTTATGTAAAAAAATGTTATATACAATTGTAGAACGACAGATATTTGACTGGATGTGATTACAGATTGATTTGGGTTTGACCAAAATCAGTGACTAATAAGGGGTCTTTTATATTTTTAGGCAATGGACCTCTTATTATTTTTAAGAACATTCGTAGTTAAGAAATGTATTCGTTAATATTATTATTTCATTGAGCCTTAGTCTCAAAATTTGAACCATTGGTTTACATGAAATTWATTTTTGTTTTTGTAATTTATTTATTTTGTGTTTTTAAATATATTTTATAGAAATTCATTTCTTTAGTAAAAATATGTATTGTTTATTTGATAATGTCTTTATCAGGTTCCATTTTTATTATTATAGCATATAAATTTAAATTTAAAATAAAGGTTTTATTTTTTAAATATWTCTGTACCTAATCTATAATATTTTATTTTTTAATGGGATATTTGCTACTTATTTTTTTAATACTTTTTCTATATTTAGTTGCATTTGAAATAAGGCAATTCTCACCAAGTTTTAAAAATAGTTATTTAGCTATTTGATATCACGTTTTATTTATAGTATTTACTACATTCTAATTATTATAAAATAAATCTTAAAAAATACATGTTTTTCCTAAGATTTGTTCATGTCCATTTACTAGTGAATGATGACATTTATATCAGGATTTTTATCAATTATGTTGTCATACACTAACCAAATTTCCTTAAGGACGCTTCTGCATCAAATTCCTCAGTTTATGGGCAAAAATTACCAACAGTATTATGTACGTTTACACAGCTCAAATCTGACTATAATGCGAATTATTAAATTAAATTTAAATTAAAAATATATTATTGGTCCATTATACAACATAATAATTGTGAATGGTAATAATCAACATAATCAACATTCAAATAGAATACTTATCTTCTGAGTTTTTTTTCAGAAGATAATTTATTATTTTTAAGATATTAAATCAATTATTTAGTTTAAGATAAATMTAAARTATAATAAGACTTGGACATATAATTAAACGCTCAAGTTACGCAGAAAAAAAAGTTATTAAATAATCAATTATAACTTTAAGACTTAGTTATTTATTTTAAGACTATTGATATGATATTATAGTAGATAACCGTGAAATTTTATAACCAATTAGGTAGTTGAAATGAGCATCTATACTTTAGTATTAAAACGGTACTTAATTTTGGTACTATTGATTGCGTATATTTATGAATATCAAAATAACGTGCTTTAAGTATAATTAATATGGTTTCAGATGATTATTTACAACGTACGTATAACGGCGAAGAAAAGATATTTAGAGGAGATTTGAGAGCAGATGAAAAAGGAATTGATTTAATCGACTATGACAACCCAGATAGTCAAGACTATCAACGTTTCGTCTTGAACTACACACATTTAATAAGAAACATAATAAACAGTAGTCCGATACAGAAAAAATTCATTGACGCCGAAATCATTTCTCTCGAACCGTAAGAATTATAATATTTAATTAATCATATAATGCGTGTATCCATTATAACAGGCAATAGAATAGGTATGAAAAATTACAAATATGGTGAGTAAAATTCATAATTTTATTTTTTATTTTCAGCGATGAAGGCAACTTGAAAGTGAACTTCTGGTTGAGATTTGAACCAGTCAGATGGACAGCGTCTGTTACAGTGGAAGAAATATTATCAGCATTTCGTCGTTTATACCCTTCGACGAAAATCGTCCCCGGGAGTTTGCACATCAAACACATTACCAACAATGCTTTGTTATCTACAAAACCATCGACAATGGCACCAGAAATATCAACCACTGAATTCCATCCAACTATACCGCCCCCTAGACGATGCACGCCAGTAAGACTGAATTTGTGTAAATCTGTTTTGGAGTATAATTTGACGAGTTATCCTAATCAGTTTGGACATAAAAATTTGGATGAAATTCACGACGATTTGATTGCATTCAGGTTAGTTATACCCTTAGTTACAACTGCATGTGTATTGGGGTCTTGATGTTGGTTTAATATACTTATTATACCAAATTATTGTAAAAACTAAAAGTGAATC